CGTATTGTATCAAGCCAAATTTGAAAATTTTCGTCGCACCATCAAAATTCGCCGCAGATCTGTGTTGCGCGCGCAATGCGTGCGGCGCCAACTGGTAAGAAATATTGGCCTACTAATTTTTCAATGTTTTGAAGACATCGCTGAATGAAAGCGAACCATGAAACGCAGCCAATTGGTACAAACTCATACACCTACCACATGGCGTTCATCACGTTGGGAAACGGCTCGCTCCAAGGCGATTCTGCTTGATTCGCGATTTGCACGAGTCGCTTACGGAAGTCGTCAGTGAGGAGAAGTTGCAAATTAAGGAATTTCCGCTGAAAAAGTTATTAAGAGCGAACGAAAAGAAAATGAGACGTTGCAAACGGAAAACATCCTCAGAATTAGCATGTGATACCTGCGCCACATCGTCCGGAAGGAGTTTTGCACGGTTTTGCTGAGACTGAAGCATTGAGACAAATGCATCGGCGCAGTTGCACACCAGATACTAAAGTATCATTTATTACAGAATCAATGTAATAAATAATAATGATAACAACCAATTGAATGTATTATAGAGTAGTGAAAACGGGCAACTTGATGCAACGCGATAACTTTCACCTGATCTGCCTCCTCCAAGGACCGAAACCGATTTCGCCAACGGTCCGGCGCTGACAGCATTTCATCCATGCGATCCAAGCAACATTCGTTTTCGATCTAAACATGACCATGAGCAAAGCGCCTCAAAAGAAATGAGTGGCCTAGAAGTGAAGTATTTTTTATACTTCTACGATTCCCTGGGTACTGGTCACACAGTACTTTCTTACTTCTGTGATACTGCAATCTCTACCCCTAACATTTTCTAATTTTATTGGACCTCAGCGTACTATTCGTACAGCCTAACATAGCGAAAGCTTAAGGTTTGTTTAGCAAATAAATGCTATAGAACTGGAAGGTATGACACACGAGAAGCTTTTTACACCAATTTGTTCAAAGGCAATGCATTGATAAACACGGTTTGTATCCATTGGATGAAATTTTGGAATAGACAGTGAGAGCAGCAGGGCCTTCTTGTGCTCAGCACCACTTAAGACTTATGCCACACAAGGTTGTCAAGCCGAATGGGATCTCCTACATAGGAACAATTACAACAGCATGCTCATCTATATAAATGCAACAGATGAATGCAGGAAAAGTGATATTAAAGCGAAGGCACTTTTCTGACTCGTGAGCGGATTGTGTGAATACTAGTACTGATATTGAGAATTAAGAATTATGCACCTCTATCCACCTGTTCAATACTTCCTGATTGCAGAAGAGTGTAAGTATGGAAGACGAATATCCATCGGGATCCATTTCTGAAAAAAAAAAACGTTTTTTAAGGATCATACCCAGTATACGATCCACAGTAAAGGAGCACTGCAGAAGATAAGAAACATGCAATTTTGAAGCGTAAACAAGATGAAACGATGGATCTGAAGAGAAGGGAGGAAGACAAAGAGAACCTCAGACAATGAGAGAGTTGCAACAGAGAGATCCGTCAGCAAAGTGAGCTTACACTGGGACAATTTCAACGCTATCCAAAATAGCCTGCCAGTGATGAAGATTAGAACGTCTCTTTCCATTATTTCATTTATTTATTACATGTTGTAGCTTTACAACCTAACGAAAAAAACGTAAGGCAGACACGCTCTACGCTTATGAAGCCTATTTTTGAAGAGATGATTATGTAATACAATCGTACAACAGGATGCTTCATGCTCCAGCGTGGCCTTCAACGAACTATTACATTTTTGAATAATTGTTGTTGCTTCCTTCCATCAAAAAATCAGACGTGGAACCATCCACTTTCAACAAGGAAGAATAAGAACCAACTGTATGACCTCAAGCGCGACAAAAGTCGAAACATGCACTGCGTAAGAGTTCAGAGAGAAATATTAGCTGACATGTTTCTTGTTGACTTGTAACGCATTCACCTCTACCGCTGTTGAACTCAATAGTGGGACTACTACCACTGAAGTGCACCTCCACAAAGGTATAAAACGTAAACTCTACCTCGAAGTTGCGTCTCGTACGATATGCACTCATCGAGAAGATGGGAGAACAGCAATACGTCATTTAGCACCTCAACTTGGAATTAATTTTCACTTTCTTTCACATTTTTAGCAGTTAAGTAAGTTAAAATATGCTAACAACGAAGCTACACTCACTATCTCTTGTTTCAAAAGTGTTTTAGTTTTCACAATAGGCAATTCGGAGAGATATTTATAGAATGTGGAGGCAGGGGACATGGAAATACCCTAAAAGATGTAGAGTGACAACTGCTAGAAGAAGATAAACGATCTTATACTAACCAACTGCTTAGCAACGATTCCAACAGCTGTTACGAAAAAATTGAGGTTAACCTGGATCCAGTTCAAAGTTTGACTTAAGTACCTGAAAAGGACTACTTCAATGAGAGTAAATGCGAAGTAAATGCCAGCGCGAACAAAGCGCCATTATGAAATTACCATTGAGGTTTCCAGATGTCATTCGTCTTCCGGTCTCCGTAAAAATGGAAAGCGAACCTAACACCGATGGGATCGAGAAACACTCGGTAGACCTCCTCGCACCTTAACAATAGCAAGAAACGAATACAGACGTGCAGTAAGAGAAATAGAAGGTATAAGCGGTAACTAGCACAAGTCAATTATTCAAATCGATGCTTACCCTGTTCCTTTCTGCAGATACTCCGTGATCAGATATATTAGGCTAAGCATGCTAGCTATAGTTGTAATTTCGCTCGCGTAAGCCTGAGTATCTGGATAAAAAAGTCAAAAATCCAGAAACGCACGGGGTTACGAAAAAGGGAATCCGAAAAAAGGAAAGAATCAAAACCTTGAACTGAAATACGGTACCTATGGAGTCTTCGAATGGGTACTTTATGGCGAGGAGTACTTGGTTCAGACCCTTGCGAGCGAATTCGTTTAACTCCGGTGCCAAGGACTTCAAACCATCAACAAAAGTAGAATATGAATTGTCTGTGAGCTGAAACAGACTGAGTAACAATTTCATATGCGGAATTCTGAGCACCCGGAACCCCAAGACCCTTAAAGTTCTTGAATCAACTTTTCCCGAAATTGGTCCCATACCAGTTCACAGTGGGGTGCCGTGAAAGAACGTTCAGGTCGCAGGTATAGTTTTCAATCATCCGATCGTCCGCCACACAACCGAGTGTGAGGAATGTACCTACTGAGCATGGGATCGTACGATCGCATGAGTCGGACAATCGGTACGATCGGACAATTGCGGACCATAATTGCGGGTTCATGAGCTAGAACTGAACGAACATGAGTAATGAGCGTAATGGAACTAGATAAACCTTGTAACTCATAAAATTTTACAAAAACCTTCGTAGCTAACCTCGACGCGCCCTTCTGTGTGTTTACAGGCACTTTGGAAAAGTTCACAAAGACGAGGCCATTCACAATGATTGCTCTTCATTTCGGCTCGGCACAGAGACAAAAGCTCCTTGCCCTGATTTGCCCATTTTAACCTTGAACAGAGAACATCATCTTTCGAAATTTTCCCAAAAAATATGACAGGGAACATTGGACAACACATTTTGAGGATAACTCTGCCTTCACCTCTGTAATAAAATCTGCTTCCGCGAAAGTGCCTGCAGTTGTGGGATAAGCGCAGGACTGTTCTAAATTAATAAATACGGTCAAAAGAGAAAACCTACTCAAAATGCGAAGAATGAGAAATAGGATGTGAGAAACCTTTCGCATTAAATCCATAAATGTCCTAACGAAGTCCTCGTATTGGTTACGGAGCGTGCATGTTTCTTCCTTCAACATCAACAGATCTCGTTTGAAGCTGTAAAAGAATATTGAAGAATCACAGGTGAAATGACAGTGCGTTGGAACGTTTAGTGAGTCATACGGTGAAAGGTGGGGACTGTACGTCAAACGAAGAAAACTTGCGGGTTTGGTTCGCTAGGAGAGAAAGCGACTTTCCCCTTTTCGCACGCAGACCTTTTCTCATGGAAAGTAACCCAAATTCACTCCTCATCAGCGGTGGACCTGGGGATTTCGTAGAAAAAAGTTCCACACTGCGAAAAGCGGAAAATGCATTCTCCCCTAGCGAACAACACCTGAGACTTGCCGCCAAAGCAGGGAAAACGTAGTTCACCGGAAAAGAATGTTTATCCGTTGTGTTGTTGGCTAAACACACTGAACATTATACTACTACGATCGATGATCGCCTGAGGGGCTCATCACACCATACGCGCATGTGTTATTAAGTTATGGTAAATTTAGCAACAGGTAGCTACAGCAATTGACAACTATGTCAAGGATCCGTCAATTTGTCATCGGCACCGCAATGGGCAGTGTCGGAAGCGAAATTCCTAAACTGTTGGAAATCAACCCACAGGTCGAAAAAAGTAGACAAAGGAATGTACTACCCTGCTCGGCTCTAGTTGAATGGATGGTGATGGAAGAAAATTTGTGCTCAGCAAATTAAAGAGTTGGTGTTTTAAAAGCGTGCTATTGAGTTTTCCAAATTAGCCGATAACGTTTTGTCAGAAAAAGTTGTGCCGTACATAAACCAAACAAAGCCTTTGACCATTGAGACTCAACCAACAAAAACCAGAAAAAAAACCTCTTAACCCTTCGGTAAGCAAATGAATAACGAGTAAAAATTAAGCGTGTGTGTTTGTCTAGATTCAAAGATACTTGATTTTATAGTCAACCTTGGTCGGTGAAATTCCCATACTTACCTTCGAAGATTGGCCAGGATTTGTGGATACGATTCTTCAATAATAGCCAGTTCTTCCGATACGGCATTAGCTTCAACATCAATTTCACGAGCAACCTATAGGACAAATATTTATTTATTTGAGACACTGTCAAGGCAGTCCTAAAAATACATGCACAATCACATATAACAAAAAGTTCATCTTATCATAGCACTCAATAACCCATTAATTTCCTTTGCCCTACAACCATTTGGCGCTGATAAATCACTGTTGGGATGTGCCACGCACTCAAATTCTATTTAGTAGCATCATGGCCTATGCTATGAGTTGCTTTACCTGCCGACGTACTAGTCAAAGTTTGTATCCTCCCAGTAAAATTTTGTACCAATTAACCTACCACTGAAACATGAAAGGCTTGGTTGGCCTTGACGGTGCATAACATAGGGCTTGATGCCCAGACCATGCGCATGGTTTGTAATGCCACTAGTAACCACATCCAGTGGCAATTGGTCATAATTGTCGTCCGACAGTACGATCGCACACCACTAGATACGTATGGATCTCCCGATCATCCGATACGTCCGATCGTAACAGCAACGACAGGACGATCGGCACGTTTCTAATCTGGGGTGTGGGTACTTAGGATAGATCGCGCTTCGCAATGCGACATCGCGCGGCGGGCTAGCGCTCCCGCAGCGAAAACAGCTACGGTATGAAGAGCGCGCGATTGGAGCAGCTTTTTTCGCATGCGTGAATTTGTAAGTTTCTGAAATACTCATTGTATTGAGACATGCGGTGAATCACCTCTCATCAATGGAAATGTTTTGTGAATTACACGATTCCGAGCGATGCCGTTAAAGTGGTATTCTAGAATTCTAGAACACTTCAAATTATTGGTGAACGAGGTAATTACACACTCATCGGCCTAGGTAATACTCTATATATCATAGCAAACTCTGACGAACTGATCCTTTGTCGTGAGTCTCATCGAACGTCCATCAACCACTCCTCTTCCAGGGTCTACCATCCATCCTCTGCAAAATTAACCTACCTCTTTCTTCACTGCTATTTTGTGGTCCTCTTCTGGTGGCCATTTTCTCGTTCACTATCAAGTCTATGGTTAGT